ATGCATTGGCAAATGTGTGCTCATGTTCCATTCTATCTTTATCAGATAGTTTAATCACAAAACCAAAGTTACCTCATCAGTTGTGCAAGAGTGACACAGTCACGGCTTATCTAGAGAGGGTCTGGGCATTTGCCAGCGCATTGCCCAGGCCCCTGTGAAGGAATTCCGACTTTTTAGAAGAGCAGGCATGGATTTAATGTGATCTATTTCTGGAGGCCTAATTCTTCCTCCATCTTTGAAAGTAATGGTTTGGTTCTCACCTACCCCTTCCTATTTATTCACTCCTTATGTCTTCTCCTTCAAATTCCAAACCCCTTTTCCAATAAGTGTAGTTCACATCTTTTTGGTTTCCTAGCTTAGGCCTCCATAACAGTAAATATGCTCCTTATTCTTCCCTTAGGGCAGGTCTACGCTGCAGCCTAAGTTGATATAACTTACATTAGTCAGGGGTGTGAAAAAGCCATGCCCCCCCACCCCCCCGCCCCAGCGATGCAAGTTTCTTGCTGTCCGCACCGGCACTATGTCGGCAGGAGACGCTCTCCCACTGACATAACTTCCACTTCTCGCCTAGGTAGAGTAACTATGGCGACAGGAGAGCACTCTCCCGTTGGCATAGTGTGTCTTTACCAGCCGACGTAGCACTATAGTGTAGACTTTCCCTTTGGGAAACCCAGACGTTATCAAGAGTCTGTAAAAATAACATTAGCCCTGGACACCCTTTCTCAGAGACTCTCCCACATGACAGCAGCGACTTTGTGGAATGTCTTTTCATCTCTGGGATGGAACACCAGTGGCAGCCTCCCTATTGAGTCAGCTGCCCTTTCACTCCACTCAGTGGCGTTGGCCACCATTATAACCAGTGGGGTCTTTGATGAAGCGGTCCCTGTGCTGCATGAAGGAGTTGGGGAGTGGGAGGAGGTGGGCTTGTGAATAATGTATGTACAGGTACAGAACTGCTGGTTGAGTTCAGCAGGGTACTTATGTTTATGCCTGCCTGTCTTTGAGCCTATGAATAGGATTTCGCTCCTGGAATGCTCTAGGGATGTCTGCAAAATCTTTTGACTCAGGCTTTGTACATAGGACCAAGATTTGCCACTAGAATACTTATATTTTTGTCATTGTTGGCTGACAAATTGGTGTGCTATTGCTCTGGAGAAATTGACTCTTGATAATCCCACGTGACAGATATCAGTAGATCTGAAGAAGACAGCATATTGCATTATTGATGTAAATACCTATTTGACTGTACTGCTATCTGACCTCTGCACTCCTGATATAAGACGTATAATTATGATATTTGAAGGCTTTCTGAAGTTTCACTGATAGGAGCACATTTTATGTTCACCCCTGTGGTGTATGAATGAATGTGTCTGTCTATAACAAATATTTTATCTACAGTTATGTAAATAGAACATCGCCTGTCTGCACTACCCTAATTTGTACCTTTTTTTTCCATTTATGTAGAAAAATGATTTTCTTCCCCCTTGCCAGAGCAGATTCAGTAGCAGGATGATCAAGAGAAATCTCATGTTGTTAGGACATAAGTTTTACAAATATGCTACTTCAGTACACCATGAAGTCTTATTAATACTAACCCATGGTTGTGAAAATAAATGAGCAAAGGACATTCTGTGATTCAGTAGAGTCCATTTTTAAATTCTTTGCTCACTTTTCTTTCAAACTTATAAAACGAAGCAACGTATTATTTGTGCTACAGAAGTACCTAAAGGCCCCCCTCAAAGATCAGGACCCTATAATATAGTGCTAAGCACCTGATTTCCTTTCAATGTGAATTGGCAACCTCCTACTGGACAGATTGGGGAGAGTGTTAGACCTATAGTTGGGGAAGGCCCCAAACACACACAGGCTTGATTGTTACACTGCTTAGTGGGGAACAGGCTGTTGAGTGAGTTCAGACAAGTTGTGAAGGTGCCTATCAATTTTTTGGAAGTGACTCTGCTTCTATATGAGATAGGCTACTCTTCCCGATCTACCAGTCAAGAGAAAATGTGAGCTAAATGCCAAACTACTCTCATATTTCCTGGCTGCAGTCCTGTGTGAAATCACAGTTAATTGAAAAGGGAGGGAAGGATGTCCCTAGGTTAAATAAATTGAAGACATTTGGGAAGCGTTAAGCATGGAAAACATAAATGGTTTAAAGAATGCCCTAGCAATGAAAGGGTCAGTCCCCAGGCAGATTTTATTCCCCCGTCCCAAGTATATTAAAACACCTGTAGGTGCCCATATATTAACACAATATAAAAGACTGCCCACTAATAAATAGCCACTGAACCTCTTAGCCCTCCACCTGCCCAGAAGTCTGAGAGATGGGGGAGGAAAGACGGGTTTTTCAGCACGCCTGCAAAGCTAATATATCCGGGCTGCGGCAAGGAGGGATTTCCAAAGTCAAAATCTCCTGCACAGAGAATGCTGCCAGCAGTTCCCTCTAGCTTATATCAGTGGGGGTCCATCTCAAGCACCTCTGCTGAGCTCAACTACGGCAATGTGACACATCAAGCCAAACTGTAAAGCAGCCTGGGAACATCTCATACTACCAACTTCATGGCAGACCTCGTATACAATGCACTGTATTCTTGTCAATGCTCTGGCTTGCTTTTTGCCCAGTAACACGGTATTTTCAGAGCTCCGTCTTTCGTGGATTGTGTTAATGCTGTGTCCCACCTTGTGCAAAAAGATGAATAGTAAATTAGTACTAATTTACAAAACTAATAGCCAGAGTCTCAGCTTGTGTAAACTGGCATAGGTCCGCTGAAGTCAGCGGAACTGTGCCAGTTCATATTAGGTTGAGGAGGGTAAAAGCTATTCTCTGTGTATTAAATGGACACCATCAGCTTGACATTTAATCAGTTTAAAAAAAAGCGTATATGTACCTTCTGGGTGTGGTGTTGTGTCCCATCTAGTGGCAGGGTGAGAGAGAGTGTGTGTCTGCTCTACAGCCTTAGCTAACAGCCAGTTGGCTTTTAGCTCAAGCAGTAAGCTCCAAAGGTCCCCGGTTCAATCCAGCCCACCAACAACCGGGGTCTGTTGGTATTACAAGTGGGGGCTCAACTGGGAAGACTCTGAAGCTCGGGACGTGCTTCCTCAACTAGGGGAAAGGCAAGTATGTAACCCACACACCTCCTGAGTGCGGTGTTCTGTCCCATCTAGTAGCACCAAGACAGCTTAAAGAGAGAGATAAACTGAGTCTGCATAACAGCCGGTTGGCTTTTAGCTCATGCACTAAGCTCCAGAGGTCCCCGGTTCGATCCCGCCCGCCACCGACTGTGGTCTGTCGGCATTACATATAGTTTTAGGTACTACTCCTACCTGGGAAGCCCCCTGACAAATCATTAGGTTTCACAGCCACATTTTTCCTACTTGGTAAATGATTTTCGCTCCCTTCTTGCTGAGCAGAAGGTCCACACAAACAATAGGGGATTTGATCCAATGAGATTACCAATGTGAACAATTAAGTATATGCATAATTGATTGCAGAATTAGAGCCTACCAACAGTACAGGGGAAACCATGAAGCTGATTAGGCACAATGTAGGGGTGCTAGAACAATTTTTGTATTGGGGGTGCTGATGTTGGAACCAATTTATTTCCTGTTTGTTATTACTACTTCAAGCAAAGGGGTTTGGTACTCCTAGTTCCAGCAGGGGTGCTGTCCGGTACACCAAGTAAACAAACTGATGAAATTGATATTTTTTCCTCCAATCTGTTGTTGTAATTTTGTTACTTGAAACAATAACAGGTTTAAAAACAAACCCCAAAACTCCTGACTGAAGGGAAATTTTTAAGTTCACAACTTCCTTCAACTCTTTCCAGGAACTGATTTATAAAAAGACTAGTTTAATGTACGACTGTCAATAAAGGCAAATACCATTATGTCCTACTGAAGCATGTTATAACAAACACTTGTGATTAAAAGTTCATTAATGAAAGTGGGAACCTATTTGAATTTTAACAACTGTGGGTTGAATGCATGTGTGTTGCAAATCTGCCTATTTGCACTCTTTTAATGTTATCTCACTACTGACACTAAAAGAAGTTTTAATAATCTAGGCCCCTATCCTACAAACAATTACAAGTGTACCTAATTCATGTGCACAGTTCTGCTAACTTCAGTGTTAACATAAAGTTAAGCATGTGTGTAACTTTTTGCAGGCTCATAATGGTTTGTAAAGTCTCCCTCTCTCTTTCATTGTGTCTGCTTCCATCACTTGCTTTATAAATGGTTTCCTTCCTCCACATCCTTTTTGAAAACAGGAAATAATTTATTTTAGGCTACTGTTTGCGCAGCACTCAGTGCTGTGGGGCCCTCATCTAATGGGGCCTCTGAAAGAGACTTGAATGCAAACTACTGTAGTGCTATTGTGAAAAGCAATACTAAGCCTCTCCAGCAGATAAAACTCTTCATGTTTGTTTGGTGGTGTGGCTTTTGTGCTGAAGGAATACAATAATACAGGAAGAACGCTTTATTTTGCAGAACGTACAATAAGATATTTGCAGAGCAAAAAGTGACTCGTCAGAAGACAGAGCGTCTCAGACTCAGGAGAAACTCGCAAAGACACTGTTTAACTAAATGATTCTAAAAATAACATCACATATTCACTTTAAATTTGCTGAAAACGTACTGCTCTCCAGGGGTTTAAAATAACACCAGGGTGCACTGTAATATCCTTGCTAGCCAGGCTGCAGATGGAACATGCAAACTGCTAGGTGGCTTTAAATTTTGGTGTAAGACTCTCTAGGGTTTTTTTTTAAGTCAGAAAGATAGAAGATGTTTTGCTTTGTCACAGGCAAAGTTTAAACAATTCCTGCTCATTTCAATAGACGGTTGAGCTCTTGGAAGGGTTTTACTTGATTAACATTTTTTTGCTGCTGGCAGTAGACAGGTCTGACGATCAGAATTCTCTCTGCAAGACTCCAGCACATACCTAAGAAAATTCTTGTTGGTATTTGGTATTTCTCTAATAAAGTTTTCTTTTTTTGCAGGTGGCTTGTGAACTTCATTACAAATCTGCTCATCACTCTGGCTTGTTGGATTTGTAAGAGAACACAGCTTCTCACCATTGTTAGAAAACCTGCAGATACTTAAAAATGAGTAGTGGTTGCTCTAACTCAAGTATTAGCCAACAACAGGTAACAAATACATTAGCAGTTCAAATAATACAGAGGAGACTTTGTTTTAAAGTCTAATAATAGATTGCATTGTCTTTATTGGGATAACAGTCCTTTAGTCAGTCAACATTTGGACAGTGCTTTGAGGATGTAGAGTGCTAGATAGTGGTTAAGTGTTAAGTTCACAGGGGCTTGCTCCTATTAGCAAGCTGACAAAGTTCCTGTTAATTTTAGTGGACCCAGGATCAGCTCTATATGGACTTGAGTAGTCTTCACTCGCATGAGTCCTGCTGATTTCAATGGGACTGCTCCTTTTGCTGGGGCTATGTCTACACTAGAAATGCTACAGCGGCACAACTGCAGCACTGTAGTGTAGACACTTACTAGAGTAACAGAAGGGGTTCTTCTGTCACTGTAGTAAATTCCACCTCTCCAAGAGGCAGTAGCTAGGCCTGCAGAAGAATTCTTCCATTGACCTAGTGATGTCTACACGAGCACTTAAGTCATCTTAATTACATTGCACAGGGTGTGAAATTTTACACAGCTCTGAAGGATGTAGTTAAGCCACCTAACTCTGTAGGGTAGGCAGCCCTAAGACAAACACAAGGAAAGGTTTGCATATTTGGCCCTAGTTTTGCAGATCTATTTTCCATGGCTCAGTCTGTACCATCACCTGCCTTTTAAGTGGCCCCATTCCTTTCTCCGAGAGTTCACGGATGATAGAAATAGAAAATAAAGGGAGCTTTATATGGTCAGATATCTGTGCTTATGAATGAATGGCTGAAACTTGGGGATACTGGGTTTGTTCAATCAGAAGTATAAGATTGGCTCCAGGAGGTTAAAATTTGATTGCCTGTGTTTCAGGTGCTGAACCTATTCACACTAGTATAGGTGGAGCCTGTACCCCATACCCTGTACCCTGCTGGTGTGCACTAAAGGTTCCCTAGTGTGCTTTATTGTAGTACTGTTTCAAACAGCACTATGTTAAAGTACACTAAGAAACATTAAGAAGAGAGTACTCATTATAATATATACTACTGTAATAAGTAATATAACTCATTATGGTGTATACTTCACTCATTACAGTAAACCGTAAACCCCACCTGTTTTTGGACATTTACATAGAACTTAAAAATAAACTCTGAACAATGAAATTTATACATCCCCAAGAACAGAAGCCCTACCTATGGCTCTGGGCCAGAAAAATTACTTCCAGCGCCAGTCCTGAGTAACAGGCACTGTGCGTATGGTTGCTAGTTTCCCCACCAACTCCTGTGCACTTCTGGAGCGGGAAACCATCCCCCTTGGTTGGATTGCAAGGTGGCCAGACTACTCTCCTCACCCTGGGAGACAGATAGTCAGATACAGACATGTAGGGTGTGGGGAGCCAGTGCCCAGCTCCTCTACATAGCATTTCCAATTCCTTGTTCTTGGCCGCCTCACACCACTCAAGCGTCTGCCCTCTCTTTGCCGCTCTCATATCCTGAGGGCAGGTCTACACTAAAAAGTTAAGTTGACCGGCTTAAGTTGCTCAGGGCTGTGAAAAACTTACACCCCTGAGCTACGTAGTTAAGCCGACCTAATCCCAGTGTAGACAGCACTAGGTTGATGGACAAATTCTTCCCTCAACCTAGCTACCACCTCTCGGGGAGATGGATGAACTAAAGTGATCGGAGAAGCCCTCCCGTTGCTGTAGCGAGTGGCTACACTGAAGTGATACAGCGGCACAGCTAAGTATCGACATAGCTTGAAAAACATACCTGAAGGCACTGGCATGTACAGAGCTGGCAACCGTGCTCTGGTCACCTTCAATGCCCACCTATGTCCAGGCACCACGCTCCGCTGTAAATGCCACAGCTGATTTTAGACTGCCAGCATATTTTCGTTTACACCTGTCCCAGTGTGCTCCCCTGTGCTTTGAACAGAGGGTGAATAATGACCTGCCCTCTGTGCTTTCCTGCTGTTGATTTGCTGCCTCGGCATCACAACACTCTAGCAACAGACGGTCTTTCCCCTAACAACCCAAACTCTCCGTCTCCTCCACGCAGCTGCTCAATTATTTTCTGCAGAAGGTGGAGTGTTCTGCATTTGTTGGAGCGCTGTGCTGCAGAAAGCTTCCTCTCTTCCCCTAGATATTCTGTATTGTACCCTAAATTAATATCAAACCAAGAGCATTTTGAGAATTAAAAAAAAAAGCAAAACACTAACATAGACTTATTGGCTCCAGCCAGCTGTTTAATGAGACTACGTGTTGGAAGTGCGGTCAGTCACTTACAGATTTGCAGAAGTTTCCTATGAGCTCACTAAGGTTTCAGTGCAGCTATCTTGAAACTCACATGTTGTTTATAAAATCCACGTTCTCCACAGTGTTCTTTAAACAAGGTTTGTTATTGAAATGGTAGTTTCTGACCAGATGCAAGAACGAGGGACAGATTCAGGCAGGGAGCCTTGAGCTGGTGATGTCGTTTCAGATATTAAATACCTATTTAAGAAATAGCAAAGTGGGGATTTTCACCCAGCTGGCATGAAAGTTCTGCACCCATACACTCTTTGGAGAAGGAAAAATATGGAATTGAGGCTGGGGGAGGTCTCCCATATAACTCAAATAAGGAGCATGGGCCTGGGTTGATACTGAATTTAGGACCTCATCCAAGCCCAGTAAAGTCTTTCCATTGATGCAAGTGGCTTTAGATCAGACCTTTAGATGGATTGAGAAGTCTGGAAAAAATTTCTAGTTCGTTCCCTCACTGCTTCTTCTGATTAGTTGTTTCTTGCCTTCTTTTTCAGGCCCAGCATCCTGCCTTGTGTTAATCACCTCATTCTGATGCACCATACATTATGGTTGCCATCAATCTATTGAAAAAATTCGTATATGGACTCCTGTTATTGATTGTGGTTCTGACTATTTGCTTGTGGAGGGAAACAAGAAAAGACTATTACGTTCCCTTCAAAACAGAAAGCAAAAGTTTTCAGATTCTCAGAACTCTGGGAAAAGGAGACGTATTTACATCCCGACTCCTTTCAAGCAAACCTGTCAGTGAGAAGGGCCAGTTATCTGTTGCTTTGCTGATCAAACTGGAAAAAGTAAATGGCAGCATCTCTCCAACCCCTCCAGGAAACAATGCAGTGGCAAAGTCCAAGAAATCAGTGCTCTCTGTGAATGTCTGGAATGAGGAAAGTTCATCAAAGAATCTCATACCTAGGCTGCAAAAGGTCAAAAACAATTACCAGTCCATGAACAAGTACAATGTGACTTACAAAGGGCGAAGGAATACTACCAAACTCAGTCCAGAGAAACTGCTCTGCCAGCTCCGGGACAGAGTGAATGTGACAATGATCCATGGGTCAGACGGTCCGTTCAATACCTCTGAATGGCAGAAGTATCTACCAGAAAAAAACCTCAGCCAAGAAGTCGGCCACTTCCGTCAATGCGCTGTCGTGTCCTCAGCAGGAGCTCTGAAGTCCTCGCATCTGGGACCAGAGATAGGTTGGTATTACTCTGTTAGGATAAAACAACATCATCTGGCTTTTGAATTCTGTGAGGCTGGAACAATCCACCATCACACTTGATTTACCCATAGGACTTTCTTCATGTAAAATTAATCTGAGAATTCACAAAGACACTTGCACCATCCTGAAATAGTCAGTTAAGATTCTTATTGATTGAAGGTGTGTGTGGTGGAGAGCAGAAAGAATGAGCAGGTACCCTTAGTGTGTACCCTTAGTACACATTTAAAATGTGTACATTAATCTTTAACACTTGAAAACACAATTGGTTTAATTGAACTAAGTGTGGGCCAGGATTCAGCTCAAGATCCGTGCTGATTTCTGCACCATACAATATGATGGAGACCCCAGTGGTAGAATTCCCACTGCAAGGGAAGGGTTGCAGTGGTACAAAGCAGCTGCAGGCTCCACTCTGGAGACCTCTAGGGAGCCGAAGTCCCCTAAAGCAGTGGTCTCCCGACTTTTTGGCTCGCGCACCCCCAGGGCCAGCTCTAGGGAACCAAAAAGAAAAAAAAAAGAGAGCTGCTACCAGCGTGCTGCCGAAGACGGAGCAGGGAGAGCCTTTGGTGGTGCGCCTCCTGCCGCGCACCCCCAGGGATGGTCTTGCACAACCCCTGGGGTGTGCGCACCCCGCTTTTGAGACCACTGCCCTAAAGAGAATGGGTAAGGCAGGCTGCGGACAGGGGATGGCCATGGCAGCTGCAGGAAGCATTATAGTGATACCGATATAACTCCCCAGGTGAACACTCAGATTCCCATTTGAGTGCCTTTGTTTGGTTTAATTTATGTCACTTTGGAAAGAGTTTAAGCTAAACTGGTGGGGGGTGGGGAAAGCCACTCTTAAATGGGAATGGGTGTCCATATGGGGTAGTTACACTGGTATCCCTGTATCAGTTTAACTACACTGATAGCATATCCCAGTATAACTGATAAAACTTTCCCATGTAGACAAGCTCTTTGGCTCTGGAGAAGGAAGAAGGAGAGGAGGAGGCAGTGTTTCCTAGTGGGTAGATCACTGGGCTGTCACTCAGGAGACCTGATTTCTATTTCTGGCTCTAACATTGGCCTGCTGGGTGACTTTGAGCATGTCACTTTGCCGCTCTGTGTCTCAGTTTCCCATCTGTAAAATATGAGTAATGACACAGTTTTCCTTTTTAAAGTGCTTTTAGATATACTGATGAAAAATGCTGTAGAAGAGTTTAGGTGGTACTATTATTTATTTTATTATTCATTATTTAACGTATCGGTTCTCTGTAGCAGCAGAACCTCTGCCTGCCCCAGCCTTGCTGTAGTTGGAGTTCTTAAGCGCGACTGCAATCCAAATAGATAATATTAGTAATAATAGGGAGGAGAGACTATGAAGGAAGACACAGAAACAAAACTCAGGAAAATCTATGCTGTCATCTGTTATCAGAAAGAAAAGAGAGTGAAGCCATGAAGGGAAAGTAGAACACAACTAAGAGTTTAGTAAGTTACATTTGGCAAAGTACCTATTAACATGACACAGCTGTTTTATTCCTGTAAAGTGCAGGAGGCATCATGTTGAGCTGTGAGGTAGCATAGTTATTTTTCACCCTGGCCACTAGGCTCAGTCCACAGGCTATTGAGCATCTGTTTTTTCAGGCCCTGAGAAATAAAGGACATTCCTCTTCATTATTTCCCAGTCACTGATTTGTAACAAATCACAAGGAGAATTGTTTACCCAAGTGTGTTTTGGGGACCTGTACTGAGCTGGGTTTTTGGATGTCAGCTTGTGCTCTCTACATGTGTGCTGAGTTTTTACAATAAAATACATACAGCTGGAAATGGTTAGTTTCATTTAAACCAAATGAGGAGACAGAGAAAACAGCACATATAGTAATGATTTAAATGCCAGCATGAAAAGAATCAACCTTTTTAATACTTCTGATGAATCCAGCTCTGTATCTCTAACAAACAGTTATCAACTGCATTGATTATATACCTGCCATATTTTTAACATACCTGAGTTAGATGCTTTTCCCCCACTCACACATAATAGCCATTGGTTAACTTTTAATAACTCTTCCCTCTTTGCTGCTTTCAGACACCCATGATGCAGTTTTGAGATTTAATGGGGCTCCTACCATAGGGTTTCAGAGTGATGTGGGGGAAAAGACAACAGTCCGCCTTGTTAATTCACAGGTAAGTCTGCCTGGCAAGTGTGCTACACGACAGAGAGGGAAAGTGTATTGAGTATGCGACTGAGGGCCCAATTGAGCACTCTTATTGTGCAGTCTCTCCTTCACTACAAGGATTGAGGTAGGAATAGCACCAACAGCAGAGTGATCATTGGTGAATGGCAGCTTTTCTTATGGTATTTATGGAAGAATAGAGCCACATCTCTGGCTTTGAACATGAGATCTCTACCTCACACTCTTGGGACCTTTATGTAGCAGCACCTCGAGGTGTCATTTCTCTCTGGAGGGAGAGAACAGGTAGAGCAGAGGCGGGCAAACTTTTTGGCCCAAGGGCCACATATGGGTATGAAAATTGTATGACAGGTCATTAATGCTCATGAAATTGGGGTTGGGGTGTGGGAGTGGATGAGGGCTCTGACTGCGGGTGTGGGCTCTGGGGCGCAGCTGAGAATGAGGGGTTGGGGGTGCAGGAGGTTGCTTTGAGCTGGGACAGGGGTTCGGAGGGTGGGAGAGGGATAAGGGCTGGGGCAGGGGGTTGGGGCACAGGAGGGGGTCAGGGGTGCAGCCTCCTGGTGGTGCTTACCTCAAGCAGCTCCCAGAAGCAGCAGCATGTCCCCCCTCTCTGGCTCCTATGCGGAGGCAAGGCCAGGTGGCTCTGCACCCTTCCCTGTCTGCAGGTGCCACACCTGCAGGTCCCACTGCCTATGGTTTCCGACGAATAGGAGCTGTGGGGGGTAGTGGTTGGGGCGGGGGCAGCATGTGGAGCCCTACGTGTAGGAGCTGGAGGGGGGACATGCTGCTGCTTGTGGGAGCTGTGTGGAGTGGGACAAGCCTCGGACCCCGCTCCCTGGCAGGAGCTCGAGGACCGGATTAAAATGTCTGGAGGGCCAGATGCAGCCCCTGGGCCATAGTTTGCCCACCTCTGAGGTAGAGCCTGCAAACAAATTCTATACATAGTATATAATATAGTTTTTTGTCTAGTGAAAATTATGTCCCTGGAACCTAACCCCCCTATTTACATTAATTCTTATGGGGAAATTGGATTCGCTTAACATTGTTTTGGTAAAAGTCACATTTTTCAGGAACATAACTACAACGTTAAGCGAGGAGTTACTTTAGTTCGGGTTCTGTAGTTTCCACATCGGAGTGTTTTAAGACTTTTATGACTTCTGAAAATGGCTTTTCCCTGTATGTCATTTTATTCCTGTACCTCCTTCCTTCATACTCCCTTCCAGGCATATGTCCCATGAGCCTGTGCTCATGGCTCTAAATATTCATTCCTGTCCGGATAAAAGCCCTAGTATTCTGATAACTGTAAGCATGCATGGGTTGTGGCTTTGACTTTACAGGAAGGGCAGAGTCTCTGGTTGATTTACGCTGCCAGATTTATACATTACTTGAGTAAGAGGTATTTGGCTCTTTAACCAGAGATAAAACTGTGAAGATTAAACAACTCTATAACCTAGGTCTATGAGAATGTATGTTGGTAGCATTTAAGTTAAGAAGATCTGGGACATGAAATATCTTCTGAGTTTTGGATGCTCTACATCTTGTCCCTCTCAGATTTTGGAAGGCACTTCAGATTCTTAAACCTTGGGTCTAGTACTGTAGCTATCTTTAGAAATCTCATATTTGTACCTTCTTTGCATTTTGGCAAATCTGCAATGAAAGTGTTCTTAAAATGAATACGTGCTGGGTCATCATCTGAGACTGCTATAACATGAAATATCTGGCAGAGTGCGGGAAAAACAGAGCAGGAGACATAATTCTTCCCCAAAGAGTTCAGTCACAAATTTAATTAACGGATTATTTTTTTAACGAGTGTCATCAGCATGGAAGCATGTCCTCTGGAATAGTGGCCAAAGCATGAAGGTGCATATGAATGTTTAGCATATCTGGCATGTAAATACCTTGCAATGCTGGCTACAAAATTGCCACGTGGACGCTTGTTCTCACTTTCAGGTGACGTTGTAAATAAGAAGCGGGCAGTAATATCTCTTATAAATGTAAACAAACTTGTTTGTCTTAGCGATTGGCTGAATAAGAAGTAGGACTGAGTAGACTTGTAGGCTCTAAAGTTTTACATTGTTTTGTTTTGGAGTGCAGTTATGTAACAATAAAAAATCTATATTCATAAATTGCACTCTCACGATAAAGAGATTGCACTACAGTACTTGTATGAGGTGAATTGAAAAATACAATTTCTTTTATCATTTTTACAGTGCAAATATTGTAATAAAGAATAATATAAAGTGAGCCCTGTACACTTTGTATTCTGTGTTGTAATTGAAATCGATATATTTGAAAATGTAAAAAAAAATCCAAAAATATTTAATAAATTTCAATTGGTATTGTATTGTTTACAGTGCAATTAAAACTGTGATTAATCATGATTAATTTTTTTAATTGCAGTTAATTTTTGAGTTAATCACATGAGTTAACTGCAATTAATTAACAGCCCTAGTCCTTACCCTTTCTTTTATCACTTAACCTAGAGTGGAACAGTTCAACTAATCATTCCCAAACTGGTTCCTTTTAACCTGCTCTATCCTGTATCCTCCAAAACTCAGAAGATATTTCATGCCCCAGATCTTCTTAACTTAAATGTTACCAACATACATTCTCATAGACCTAAGTTATAGAGTTGTTTAATCTTCACAGTCTTATCTCTGGTTAAAGAGCCAAATACCTCTTACTCAAGTAATGTATAAATCTGGCAGCATAAATCAACCAGAGTCTCTACCCTTCCTGTAAAGTCAAAGCCATAACCCACGCATGCTTACGGTTATCAGAATACTAGGGTTTTTAGTGTTTTAGTGTTTGTTTGAGGCTAAGGTATGCACTCAGATTTTGTATGGTGCAGAAACATGGGGGTGGAATGATCAAATGGGAGTGGAAGTGTTTCAAAACAAATTCCTTAGGATGATTTTTGGTGTCCCAAATAGACCTGCAGCTGCTCTTCTTAGAATCAAGACAGGCATGAATTCTGTTCTTTTCCAAAGTGCAATACTAACATTAACTTTTGGTTTCGCATTCGTTGAATATACCCACAATGTTTGCCAAGGCTGTGCTTAGAAGAACAGCTCAGTTGGGCTTTGTCATGTACATTTCCTTGGTGACAGAATATTCAAAATTCTTTGCATTCTCTAGGCTTCCCAGAATTCAAAATGATTAGATTTGTTTAAATAAGTGAAATCCCTAATCAATTTGAGATTAGAGGATATTAATAAACAACTAAGCAAGGCTGTTGTTTCCATTACAACTGTGTCACCTTGGTTCCCCCTTATTAAAAAGATTCACGTATATCTAGAGAGTTTGTCTAATAACGAGTTAAGGAGGGCCTTAAGAGCTCTCAGTTTTCAATCTGTGCAGACAGCTTAAATCAGAATGCTGATATACTGGCACTGAGAAACATAACCACCTCTGTCCATGCAGCTCTGGGCAGATGGAAGGCCTACCCTATTATTTGTTATACTGTAATTTGTACTGTATTGAGGTCAGAATGGCTTTCCGTGCTTCTTTTGTTCTGGGTCCCTTTTTCTACAACATCTCAGAGAACAGAATATTTATTAGGGACTAACAATGTATCTGTGATCTGAGTGGCTGCCCTATTTGCATGGCCAGCAGCTAAAATCAGGAAAAGATAAATGGCACGGTGATTATATATGGTTTAATTGATTTATGTTCTTTTAAATTTGTATTTATATGTATTGTGATATCATAAAATCCTGGATTTACTTTTCAGTTATATTGTAATATATTTTGTTTTTGGTGCATTGGCTTACGGCTAAGTTGCTATTAATAAATTTGACTTGACAACAGACAACAAGTAGTTACAACAGGCAGACAAGGGGAATACAATTAAACAGTGAGAGAGTTGTGAAATAAGCAATGGTCACAGCACCCCAGCTATCCATCCAGTAAGTGTTTTGAAGCCATCACTTCTTTGCTGGATTAATCAGGAAGAGCTTGTTACAATCTAGTGAAAGGGAGCACAGGTTGAAACCACCCAGGTAGGAAGAAAAACGGAGCTTCATACTCCAGAACAGGCCAGTTCACTACCTGCTCACCTCTTCACTCTGTCTCCTTGCTCTTCGGGCTTGAGGTTCAGTCATCTGCTCTCAGAGAACGAGGGCTGGTCTACACTGGCAATTTGCAGCGCTGCGACTTTCTCACTCGGAGGTGTGAAAAAACACCCCCCTGAGCGCTGCAAGTTTCAGCACTGTAAAGTGCCAGTACAGACCGTGCACCAGCACTGGGAGCTACGCCCTTCGAGGAGGTGGGTTTTTGAGAGTGCTGGGAGAGCTCTCTCCCCGCACTGGTGCCGCGACTACACAAGCCACATAAAAGCACTACCACAGAAGACTAGCCCTGAGTCTTCTGGGTTGCTGCCTTGGAATAAGGGTTGACTTTTTTCAGAGAAGTACAGAGGGTTTAGTTACATCTATTCTGTTAAAATTCAAGGGTAAATCCCCTGTACTGCCTTGGAAATTGTAACCAAATTCTCTAATCCATGTTTGTTCCTCTTCCTTTACATTAATTTTTGTTGCTCATAAATCTTAATCTATCTTCCTCATCAGAATTCTCCTCTCCCATGATTTGTGTTATCTTGATGCCTGCTGCGTCCCAGTGGTCTCTGCTTCCTGACTAGTGGATGCAACGTAAATTAAGAATTGTACTTTGTCCCTTTGTAAACTGATCTTCCCATGGCAGACATGTTCAGCAATCTGGAGGCAATTTATGTCCTTACTCGTCTGTGTGTAATTGTGTTACTGGGTCAATAGTATGTTCTCCACTTTGGAAGCTATCTCCCGGGGCCACATATCCAGTGCCAGCCTAGTTATGATATGCAAACGGTGCCAGTGAAAACATTTGTCCTGCTTCCGCGACACTATAGATATAGATATATAATTATGCAGCTGTAGTTATGCCAATACAACTCCCCATGTGGACACACGTGTTCCTGGATAATAAGTGTTAAAAGGAAGGGAAGATGGATGATGGAGAAGTAGAGGGGAGACAATGACACAACAAAGGAACGAGGTAGGAGGCTGGGGTAGGTAAAGGGATACCATTCTTAGGGTAAAAGTCAGCAAATGTGGTCTAAAAGGCTATAATCAAACAAGTTAATTAATCCAAAAGAGATTACATAGATGATAAATGTACTAGCGGGTTATATGATGAATTAGCAAGGCAATCAGGAAACCATGAAATCAGCGAAATAAGACCAGATCAAATAGGCAATAATCAATGCCTCTGGCAGTTAATTAGCAAAACAGCTGGGCAAGACAAGTAAGTGTGTTAGCAGTTAAATGACAGTTGGTTGAGTGGAAAGAATCAATCCATTGATTAAGCAGAACAGATAGGCACTAAAGGCAATAAGTGGTGAGATCAGTTAGCTCCATTGATTAAATGTGGAACCTAGAACTGACAGTCAACAAATTAAGGTCATGCAGAGCAAACAATAGCAAGCTGTAAATGAGGTGGCAGGAAGTTATCAGATTAGTTGCAGAAGTAAGAGGCAGTGACAACTGCAATAGAAATTTGGTGCATATGTCTTAGCCTTCAGTTGTTCCTAGTACCTGCCCTGCTTAAAAATGGAGGCAGGAAAGATGGCAACAACCCTACAGTTCTGACCTTGAAAAAGTCCTCTCGCATTTGCTCCATCTCTGCATTCATGCTGCTGGGTGAGTCTAGAGCAGTGGTTCTTAAAGCTGGTCCGCCGCTTGTTCAGGGAAAGCCCCTGGCAGGCCAGGCCAGTTTGTTTACCTGCCGTGTCCACAGGTAATTCTCCAGGTTCAGCTGATCGCAGCTCCCACTGGCCACGGTTCACTGCTCTAGGCCAGTGGGGGCTGCGGGAAGGGCAGCCAGCATGTCCCTTGGCCCACGCCGCTTTCTGCAGCCCCCATTGGCCAGGAGCCACAATCGGCCGAACCTGAGGACGCAGCAGGTAAACAAACCAGCGCGGCTCACCAGGGACTTTCCCTGAACAAGTGGCGGACCGGCTTTGAGAACCACTAGTCTAGAGAGAGGCCTGTGACTGCTTGATTCATACACTTACATTCTCTCCCCTTCCTTTCTGAACAGCTCTTCTTCGCCTCTCTGAGTCTGGGTCTACACTCCAAAATTACTTTGGTATAACTACTTGGCTCAGGGGTGTGAATAATCCACACCCCTGAGCCACGTAGTTATGTCGACCTATGCGCCGGTGTAGACAGCGCTATGTTGGTGGGAGAGCTTTTCCCACCGACATAGTCACTGCCTTTCAGGGAGGTGGAGTTATTAAGCCGATGGGAGAACTCTCTCCTGTCAGCTTAGAATGTCTCACTTCATGACCCTGCACTATGAGTCTTGCACTTCCTACCTACGCTTACTGACACGTGGACTCTTTCCTGAAACGCTCTTCTCAGCCCACCTTCTCCTCTGCCCAGGATGGTGCTAAAAAGGACCCATCTTGTTTTGTAAAATATCTGGCAAGAATCCCCTCTCCCTCTGTTCTGCTGTGTCCCTCCTCCCCTTCCTGCCTTCACCCCAGTCTGACATCACGGTCACTGCTACTCTCTGCCACTCTTCCTCGCCCTCTCCCTGCAATCCCATCCTCTCCAAATGCTTGTAGCTCCCACAAGCCTGGGAGTTAAAAACTTAAATCCTGTCATTTGCACCTGCAAAGGACTGTGTGCGCCAAGCTGCACTTTCAAACTCGGCAGCCTCGTTTTTAAAAGTGACCGAAATGTTTTAAATGGCGAAGGCTGAGGAAGCCAGGCAGTACACATGGCAGGACTCTGGGCCTCAAACCTAATGTTCTCTCTCTCTTTTTAAAATTAAGAACATACACCAGCAAACTCTTTTTCATTTATAGAATAATAAGCATCTGGAATGGCCAGGCAGACATGGTTGTGATGTACTGGTGACAGGGACAGGCAGAATAGCGATTGGATGCTAGCGATGGCTGGGGGGAAATAGCATATTTAAAAAGATGAATCAACTCATTCTGAAGTAGCTCCCGTTTGGCTTGGATTTCTGAGGGGCTGTCTGGCATAGTCAGGGTTTTATGACTGCCCTCTTCCTAACACGATGTTAACAAGAAGCGTCTGTTCGAATTGTGCTTATGAATAAAAGGACAAGCCCCTGTTTATTTCCTGTAAACAGTGCTCCAAAGTGGACTTCCCCAGTTCAACTCTCTCACCTGCCCTGTGGCAGTTGTTGGATTACTAAGAGGATAAAGCTGCCCCCAGCTGATTTTTGTCATTGTAACTTAGCGCTAGTGGCTGTTTGGGGAAATTGACACTTGGACCATTATTCTGAGTGTAACTCCATGAGTTTGTATTTAGCGTGACTGTGAAGTGTGGATTGTTAAAACTCGCCCCATGCATGCTTTTTTTTTTTTTTTTTAATGAAATATGATCTGAGCAGCCTGTTGCCTTATCCATCTGTTTTTCCTTTTTGGCAGAGTGTCTGTAATTTCCACAAAGTTGGAGAAATGCATGTAGAATTAGATGTTTCAGTTACTGCTACTACTCTTCTCCCAGCTAATTTGAGTGACTGCAATTTTAGTGGCTGAAGTCCACACATGCTTCAAGCTGTTGTGAGTGGCCCGTATCCTCTCCTTTCTGTGTAAAGACAGGTAGAAAGGGGAATGTGACATGCATAGATATGCAGCCATTGCTCCTTTGACACTCCACTACATCCTGACCTGCTGGAGGCAGGAGTAGCAGCAGAATTAAAAGGACAGGGCATGGTTGCTAGCTCACACAAGGAAATATCTTTTCTATAGCATGTATAATCCAAGGATAATGGAGCACTTTTTGAACTTCAATCAATCCTACCTGTTGTCCTTAGTAGTCGATGGGTGGAGCTATGCTTAGTAATACTTGACTGCCTGACCTTCCACAGATTGATACATATTCTGCTGTGTTAGTAATCATCTTTCCTTTTCTCATTCAAGCTTGTAACTGTCAAAGAGCAGAAGTTCCTTACAGATATATTGTACAATACTGGAATCTTAATTGTCTGGGATCCAGCGCCTTATCATGCAGAAATTCATCAGGTAAGTGAAGAACAGTGTAGTAAATGAGATTTACAGGGTAGCTGTGACCTCATTTCTTGCCATATATGTCTGCATGCTGAGGATCATTCCTTTTAAAGTTGGCGTGCTCGATGTAGCAGTGTATGTGTTCGCAAGTGCCTTTTGCCATCCCTGCATGCGATCAGCTCCTATGATTTGTGTCACAGCAGTCAGGGAAACTGAATTTGAGTAAAGTTCATGAAATGCCCCCATGTGATGTTGCAATTCTGCATGCTAGGTTGCAGTGCCCAGAGTGGGGAGCCAGGCCCAGCCCCACAGGACAGGAGCAGCTGGTGCATGGTGAGTGCAGGGTGGGCTCACTGTCCATTCCTCACCTCTCCACCCCTGTCCCCGAGGTCCCCAGCTTGCCCCCTTTCCATGACAAAACATTTCCATGACCAAATCATAGCCCTACTCAAAGGAAATGTGTGTCTTTTCCAGGCAAGGGTGAAGGGCCCTGAGTTGTCTATCTTTTATTGCCACAGTAAGTTTCCCATTGGCTGATCTCACATCAGGGTGACCATTATTGTACATAGCATTCTCAAGCTTGCCGTAGACTAATAGTCTTCATTGTCTCAAGAACCCAAAAGTTAGGCTGGACAGTCTGATCACAGTGGCCATTTTGGTTTTGAAAGCACCAGTCTGTCATTAGGTATATTTTAATGGCTTATAATTGATAAGAAAGCTCTGTTAAAAGGCCAGCAAATTCCCTTACTCATGTCAGCTGGAGTTTTGTAGGTATTGGATTCATAAACTGGAGTCGCTTGTGTAGTGACTGCAAAGTAGCTGCACAATAGCTCCATTAGCAGTCATCTCACCTCCCTCTCTCAATAAGTGGGTAGATCACCCATGTGGGCAGTATACTCAGAACTTTATCGCAGAACTGTATGTTGTTGTGCCCCCCTCATCCAATCAGAAGTCAGAAGCTTTGAACCATCTCTCTCCCTTTAAATTATAAGAAAATAAAACCAAGGGCGGTTCTTCTCGCTTTGCAGTGTGTTTTTTGACTGTGCAGTCTGTATAGTCAGAAATGGGAGAGAGTTTGTTCCATTTTTAAAATAATAAAAAATACCTCTCAGCATTTGCACTGAAGAAGAATTTCAATATCAGAGATACTGCACCATCCTTTGATTTAGCCTTCTTAGGGTACAAGACCTCATTGTTCTCCCTTTTCTGTCAGGTCTCCTCATTGCTGATTTGCACTGGAATATCTCAGTTGAAGGCAATAGTCACATCATTGTACAAAACAATAAGTTACCTTGACAGTTTCAATAATAAGTTAATATTCTGTCAATATGCTATTTTATGGAGCTTCAGCATAATAGTCCAGAGCCAGAAAGCACAGGATCATCACTAAAGCGGCACAATAACAAAGCTAAGGATTACAGTACATCAAACAATCTCAGCAAGCAAAGCATGCAAAGTGATAAACTGCAACAGCTTCAAAAGCTAGTCCAGTGTAATTAGCAGACAGAAGACGTGACTCTGAAACAACTGTCCTCTCTCTCCCGGAGCAGGGCGCAAACCCTGGACTGTGTGATTGAAAGTCATCTTTCGGAAAGAGAGGCACACTGCTCCAGTGGTTAGGGTGCTAGACTGGGAGGTTCAGGTTCAATTCCCTGCTCTGCCACAGACTTCCTGTGTCACCTGGAACACGTCACTTAGGTCCTGATCGTAAATCTCATTTTTAGGCTCCACAAAACTCCTGCTGAATTCTGTAGGCACCTAAACTTGACACTTATATTTTCAGCCTAAAAGTTCCCTCCAGAATAAGTTTCTGCCTTCAAGTATGCCCACTGCACCCCACTCTAGGTGTCTGGACACCTATCCCCAACCTAAGCCCCAGAGTGATCCACGAACCAGGAGGAGATAGGTGAGCAAATGTCTATCTCATGTGCGGAGCCCGATGCGGGAAGTGTGCTCAGAGGTCACCTACCAGATTGGTTCCCATTCACAATCATTTTTAACTTTTAGAAAGCCAAGGATTATAAAAACACTTCCATGCATTCTTCACTTTGAATGGATACAGATATGACTAAACAAGAAGTCCCTGCAGTGTTCCTAAAGCCCACTTCGCAGCATTGTACTAGTGTATTAGAATCTAAGTGAAGTCATTTGGAAATTAACTATAAATGAGTGTTTATAAACTACTTCCTTGGTCAGAGACATTGCTTATAAAATGTCATCTGAATGTCCAAGCCTTTGTCTAGTCCAACGAAGCAAGGGTATGTATGTAGCATGCTTAAGAGCCTCTAATGAGCTAGGCTGGTACTTATTGCCTAGTAAAACCTCCTCTCTTTTAGATGGTCCAAGAGTTTAAAGAAGCATGAGCTCTCCTTCAGTATTTTTACTGAAGTAAGGTAGTGAAAGGAAAGCTTATAAATTTGTAAGCTCACAAATACACACAATTACAGTTCACTGCACATACTGTACGTTATCATCTTCTGGTGCAATGTTGTGACAAAGATGCTTGTGTGCTAGCCTTGGAATATGACCTTTTGTTCTCTGAGATAAATATAACAATTGAGAATGGTATAAAAATGACGCGCTGCACGCAAGGTTGTCCTGTCAGTGTCTTTCTAGGCCACGTGAACAGTCCTGCTAGCTCGGTATTCTAGAAGGAGAGAGGTAGTATCTTCTAAAATGTTTGGGAACGGAAAGGAGAAGAAATGGGATCTTTTCCAGATTTTATTGCTAGTGGGCTGCTTGCTTTCATGTAGCAAAGAAAGAATTTTGAAAATCTTCCCCCTGAATCTCCCAATTTAAATATCCGGCAGCCATTAATGATCCAAAGTCCATTGAAGTCCTGGGGGTTCTTTCCACTGAATTTTGGATCAGACCCTAAATGCAAATAAAAATGGAGTAGTTGGTAAGACACTTTTATGAACTGGATCACTGACACACCCGCCACTGACATGTGAAGATCTTAATGCATTAGAGATGAGAAGCTTAGAAGGATTAGAACTCCATAACAGACCACTAAAAGATGAGATGGTTCCCCATCAGTCTTCAGTATGAGGGTATCTTATAATAGAGACTGCAGGAAGGGAGGGAAAAGTGCCGTTTGCCTACATTGCTTTGTGAATTGCAATACAGCCTGGTGTGATACGCATGTCAAATTACATTCCACTTGTAAAGAAAGTTCTTTCACAGCATCTTTAAAGTTACACAGTGGATATTGTTGTAGACTTTTGTATTCCGTTATGGGTGCCATGGGCTCACCCGTCTGGTGCATGCTAGCTCTTCCATCAGCACCTTGCCCTCTGAATTAGAATGCAGGTGGAATTTTGAAGGGCAGCCTGTTACATGCAACATAAGTTACTGGATCCCGCAGCAGTGCAGAGCAATAGTAGATTCCTTAGGTGTTTTATGAGAGATCTTGTCCTTAGGGGAGGGGGGAAAGGATCTGACTTGTTAATTCTGTTTTAGTGGTACAGAAAACCAGACTACAATTTCTTTGCAAACTACAAGGAGTATCGTACCAGACATCCGAAACAGCCCTTTTATATCCTGAACCCAAAAATGCAGTGGGAGCTCTGGGATATCCTGCAGGAGAACTCATTGGAGGATATTCAGCCCAATCCACCTTCTTCTGGAATGCTTGGTAATGTATCTGCCCAGTAAATATTTGACTTTATTAATTTTGGATGGGGCTCTTCAGTTTATTGAAGCGCTGTTAATGGTTGTGCTTTCTGTTTATCAGATTCAAAGAAGCCCTTTAGAGCTTCCTAACAATGGTCAACTTCTGTAAAATGCAACATTTCCCATCTCAAAACAGCAGCTTAATTACGTTAGAAATCAGCATTTCCCAGCAGCGGCTCTCAAACTGTTCTGTGTAGCACTGACTCCAGAAATAGCTATACTCAGATCAAACACAGGTGCATGCAGGAATGTTAGGTGCAACAATGTCAATTGTCAATAAAAGGTGCAATCACCTTTTACTGGTCACCAGCATTTTTAGCCAATAGGAAAAGAGCAACTCATATCTGGTCTGATCTGAAGCACAGTGAAGTCTTTCAGGGCTTTCACTGCTATTCCTTTTCATTACTTTTTTATTTTAACAAGCGAATAAATTTATCAGCTCTCTATTGGAGTCAACAAATAGTTTTATTTTTCAAATTGATGAGCCATTACCTATTATGGGATAAGCACAGTTCAAAAAGAAAGATTTGATAAGGGGAAAAAGTTTTCAGAACTTCATAATAGCTGTAAAAATGGTAAATAATTCCCCCTCAGCCAGCCTTATCTCTCGTTCTAAAGCCCTTTTGTTTCATCACCTTGTGCTAATCTCAGAACATTAGTGAAGAGGTCCATTTTCCTCCCAGACAGAAATTCTATTGTGGCCAGGTTTTCTCCTCTTCACAACCTCATTTAATCAGCAACAAAATGAAAAGGAACTGACTGCTAAGGAGCGATTTATAAGAAAACCACTTACAGTGGAGTTGTCGTCTTGTTTGCTTTGTCGGTGGCAAAATTGTTCTGCTTTGGTTACCATCCTACTGCTTGCAAGAGGGCACTCATACTGTAAGATATTGCCCCCCACCCCATGTAGGCGCAGAACCAGACCTTAACAAAGTCAGGTTAGCTGATCATATTTCTGCCAGTCAGAATTCTTCTTTCTTTCTACAAACTCATATTTCTGCCTTCTAAGCTATTAAATTATTTCTGGCTCCTGTTCAACACTAATGTGTAATGGGGGAGACAGCTAATTTTAGAAGGAAAAGACAAAGCAAATGGTTATTGATTAGAGCAAGGGATTGAGAAGGCAGGACTCCTGCACAGCTCAGTCTCTTGACTTTTTTATGCCTGAGTTTCCCCATTTGTAAAATGAGTATAATCTGTCTCCCAGTGATGATAGAGAGAGACACAAGCTTTTGAGCTTACACAGAGCTCTTCTTCAGGTGACCTCTACAGAAAAGCTCTTTGTAGCTTGAAAACTTGTCTCTGTCACCAGTTGAAGTTGGTCCAATAAAAGATATTCTTCCCCTGTGTGGAATACACATAGGGACCAGCATACCCGCTATAGCCCCACTGGCCAAGCCCTATGTGCAGTGACCCTCATAACCACTCTGGCTGTGATCTGACCTGCTAAGGCCATGCCATGAGTACGCATGCATGCCACATGCCTGAGTCTGGAGTTTCTTCAGAGCATTGTCCACTGACCCACACATACACAATAACACCCCTCACGTACCTGACTGAGGATATAAGAGGCAGTGCAGATCAACACCTCTCCAGTTTCTTCTTACTGCCCCATGGCCTAAGTCAGAATCATGTCCTCTGTTGTTGCACAGCCTGTAAAATTTATTTGTAAATAGTTTATATCTTAGCTTAGGAATTCTAGTTAGCATGGAATAGAATACTCCCCCTCTCCAGTCAGGCGAAATTGTCTTCAGTCCCTGGACTATGCCCAGGGTCCCGGGTTTCAAGAAACAAGGAAAAAGAAGGAGCCACTGGTTCCGACAGTATTCCTCATTGGTACCATCTCATCTATCCAAAGCCTGGCTGCATCAGATGAACTGGGCCCTTCAGGAGTTTCTTTGTGAACTGCTCGGACTCCAGGCTGTGTGGAGACCTTTGTAATGCCAGAGGATGTCTTCCTCCCCTACCTGCAGTCTACACTCCTTTTGGGCCCTGCCTTCCTGAGAGACATCCTTATCCTGGAGGGGAAATCATTACCATTGTCTCAAGAGAAGTCCCATCTCTATCCATCACACAGGAGAGCCCCAGTACTGATGGAATCAGAGGAGTTGGAGGAGATAGCTGCACCAGTATCTCTGTGGAGGCACAGGAGCCCTAACAGACAGCTAAGACACTATTATCTGTCTGGTTATGACCCTCCCAGGGACACCTAATATTGATTCCCGGGGGGGGCCACCATGAGCAATGGATCCTTCCTTATTGCAGGTGCCTGGACCCCTCTCAGGAGTCATACCACTCCTCCTCCTCTCATCAGCTGGTTCCATATGTGTCTGAGGAGGAAGAACCAGAACCGGTTCCGATGGGGGCGTCATCATCATCATCTCTGGACACCACTGTCACTCCTTCATTGCCCTCTCCTCTGGATGACAACCAGCAATACCAGGAGTTGTTGCACAAGGTCGCTAATGATCTACAAATTCATCTAGAGGAGGTCCATGACCCTCAGAATCAACTACTGGACATTTTACGACCACAGGGACCGACCAGGGTGGCCCTTCCAAACTAATCAGGCCATATTAGAACCAGCCAGAGAGGTTTAGCATACACCAGCATCTGGTGCCCCTATGCTATTTTGTGCCGGCTAAGGATGCTGACTTCTTGTTTTCTCATCCTGCCCGTAATTTGTTGGTGGTACGGGTGACTACAGAGAGAGCTCAGCCACGCTACCAAAAATCTACCTTGGCCCATAAAGGCTCAAAGAGAGTGGATCTCCTGGTAGGAACGTTTTCTCCTCTGCAGTCCTCCAGTTTTGTATAGCTGATTACAAAGCTTTATTAGCAAAATACAATTTTAACACCTACACCAGGCCTGCAGAATGTAAAGACAAACTCCCCATGGAAGACTGAGCCCAGTTCTAGTCCTTTCTGGATGAGGAGAGTCACTTAATACTGTGAGCATTCCAGTTATCCTAGACTATCTCCTCTTCTTGAAGAGCTCAGGGTTCACCCTCAGTTCACTGTGAGTACACCTAGCAGCGATTTAGTGTCTTTCTCCCCCCAGTGGAAGGACATTTTATCTTTACACACCTAACCATGGTTCAATTTATGAAGAGCTTGATCAGGACCCTTCCCACTGGTTATTAAACCTGTGCCTCAATGGGACCTTAACCTTGTCCTCTCAACACTTACAGGCCTGCCCTTCAAACCTCTGGTAACATGTGCCATGATCCCCCTGTCCATGAAGGTGGCATTCTTAGTAGCCATCACTTTGGCAAGAAGGGTCAGTGACCTGGTAGCCACAATGGCAGACATTCCTTATACAGTATTTCACAAGCAGAAGCTTTCCCTTAGGTTACATCCCAGATTCCTTCTCACAATTGTGTCTGAGTTCCATATCAATACTTACCTGTATTCTTCCCAAAACCCCATGCTTCTTCTGAGGAAAGAGACCTCACTCCCTTAACGTCAGGCTTCTCCTGACGTTCTACCTGCAGAAACCAAATCCATTAGAAAATCTTTGAGATTCTTTGTTGTTGTGGCAGAAAGGTCACAGGGACAAGCTATATCATTACAGAGGATTTCTAACTGGATTTCAGGATGCATCTCAGAATGCTACAAAACAGCGAAGCTCCCCCGTCCTGGGCGTATCACAGCTCACCTCACGTGGACACAAGCTGCCTCCCCGACATCCTTATTGGATGTTCCACTACAAGACATCTACAGGGCACCAACTTGGAGTTCCATCCATACTTTGACATCACACTATGCTCTAACTCAAGCAGCAATGGTGGACGCAGCTATAGGAACAGCAGTACTACAAACCTCTCTGCTGCCAGTTTCCTCACACCATCTTCCGGTCTGAATGTGCTGTTTGAGAGTCCCCCAGGTATGGAATACACATAGGGACCAGCACTTGAAGAAGAAATGACGATTACTGGCTGTAATTGGAGGTTCCTTGAGATGTGTGGTCCCTATCTGTATTCCACTAGCCACCTTCTATCCCCTCTGCTTTGGATCTAGTTGGATTGCAGTAAGAAGAGGAACTGGAATGGCGTCAACCCACACTGCCTCTTATAGTCTCAGTCAGGAGCATGAGGAGAGTTACTGCGCATGTGTGGGTCAATGGAGACTGCTTTGAAGAATTTCTGGACTCAGGCACATGGTGTGCATGCGTACCCATGTGTGGAATACAGATAGGGACCACGCATCTCAAAGAACCTCCAGTTGCAGTAAGTAGCCTCTGCTTACCTCTCCCACCTTGTTTCTCTAATATCCTGTGACCAACACACCTACAACTACATTGTGTATCCCAGTGATGATGTGACGCTTAAATTGTTCAGTATGCTCTGGGAACCTTTGGAAAGCCCCATGTAAGTGGAAATAGTTACTTATGGTAAAGTCTGATCAAAATATTTTTTTAAAAATGGGGACTACAATTTGGCAAAGTAGTCACAAAATTAAAAAGAATTTGTTGTGCAGCATTAGTAGATTCCCCAGTCGTCCTTCCAGATGTCACAAAATACATTCAGATCTGAAACTCGGCATAATTCAGTGGGATGCTAGAAAATAAATATTGATCCAGATTCCCTGGTATGCCCTGGGTGCTTTGTGCTGCTTTTGCAAGGTGAAAGCAGCCTGTAAACCCGGATTAATTGTTCCCCCTTTAACAGTTGCTTTGCACAGAACATACCACGGAATCTGGCTGATCATCATTATTAACTGCATTCTAGAATTGCTTGTATACTTCACATAAGACACATGAGGGCAACACTGCTCCATCTAGGGAAATTGCTTTGAGCTTGAAGAGTAGCATACTGTGCAGTGGTGTTGAACTGCAAAACAAGCCCTCTCTAGATTTGTGATTTTTACTGGCTGTGCATTCATTAGGTGAGGTGTTGCGCTCTTCCCCCACAACACAAAACCCTCCCCTAGACTTGAGACTGGCCAGTGTTGCCAACTTAAATAGTAGTGAGGACTGAAGCCTGAGCCTGCCCCAGTCCCACCACCCTAGGTGAGGGGACCAAAGCCCCAGCCCCGCTGCCCTGGGCGGGGGGCCTGTAAACTGAGCCCCGCCACCGATGGCCGAAGCTGAAACCCTGAGGCTTTGGCTTCAGCCACAGGTGGTTGGGCTCAAGCTTCAGCCCCGGACCCCAGCAAGTCTAAACCAGCCCTAGTGATCCCATTAAAACAGGGTTGCGACCCGCTTTGGGGTCCCGACCCACAGTTTGAGAACCACTGATGTTCATGCTTGGCTACTCGGCAAGTTTTCACCCAGCTATCAAGAAGAAATAGTATTTTTTAATGCTGATCTTATAACTCATGGCATATTGCTGTCACACAGTATCTCCATGAGGCTTTAATGGGGCAGACTGTGCCGTGTCTGACAGGATGCAGCTGCCAGTCACAGCATCTGTGATTTTGGAGGTGTAACCAATTTGTGTGTGAATGAGCAAGTGGCTCAACAATTGTGCAGACTTCAAGGAGCTTCAGAAAGTAGCCTCCTCCAATCACAGCCTTTTCTCCTTCTCCTGTGGTCTGAACTTTAAGAAGACCACTTCTTGCAGGGAAACCCCACCGCCTCCCATCTTGGGAGACAGAAGGGGATATTTCGCATAAACCTCATGTCTCACATTTAAGCAAGAAGATGGTTGGTTTCATAACTTTTTTGCCAGGTTGACTAACTGGTTCTTGCTCTCCCCCTGCCAGGCATTGTGATCATGATGACCCTCTGTGATGAAGTGAATATTTATGAATTCCTCCCTTCCAAACGACAGACAGACATCTGCCACTATTACCAGAGATACCATGACCGTGCCTGCACCATGGGTGCTTACCATCCACTGCTGTTTGAGAAAAACTTGGTGAAGCGTGTTAACCAAGGCCAAAATGAGTTAATTTACACTCATGGGAAAGTGACTTTGCCCGGCTTCAGAAACATGCACTGTTAGCAACTCAACTTCTACTGTGCATAGATACTTCTGTTGATTTTCAAAGCACTTTTAGAAGGATATTGTTGAGATTTTTAGGCCTAAACATTGATGTGCCTTGGCAGTTCTTCCATAACGCACCCCTTACATTAAGGATTCCTGTGATGCAACTTCTCCGATCTGTACAATAGCAGAAAGCATTACACATCCTCCACCACAATTATCCAATATCTACTGTGTGAACCTCCAGTCAGATTAGTAGGTCTGATCGTCTGAGGGGCTGAGTATCCTTCAGCTGCAGTTGGCCACCTGAGTTTTCTTCTGTGCAGTTAAACCAACGTACTGCTGGTGTCACTCCGCTGAACTCCGTGAACAGCAGAAAATTTGGCCCCTTTTAATAAAGAGTGGCTAAAAATAATCCCATGGTTCTTGATTCCTTAAAGACAGGCCTACGATTATGGACCCACTGTCAAGTTTGCCTGCTAAGATAGGCAGTAGTTCAACAAGTTAAAATCTATGACTTGCATTATCGTCCTACCAACCTTGAGAAACAGTCCTTTATATCCTGGAATTGTGATGGTGATTGTGTCCAATCAAAGAGGAAGTGTTCAGTGTTGATTTGTTTTGGAATTTTTACCTTTTTAAAAGTTATGATGTTCAGTGAATTACTAAATTGAATTTAAATGTCTGATGATCACTCAGCACTGTTTGTTCAATGTAGCATCCTCTTGGGGACACAGGATATTTTAATTCCAAATCATTTTGGGGAAGACTTTTGAAAGGCATAAATGGCAGTTTGCAATTGTAATGGGGATTGGTGCCTAATTGCCATTTGTGCCCTGTGAAAGTCTCCCCATTAGTAATTTAGGACAATAATACCATATAGTCACAGGCAACTAAATAAGCCTTGGGGCTTCTAGCCAGGTGCAAACCAGTTCTCCCCTTCTAGGTTTCATCAGCTATCCAAGTTGACCTTTGTTAGATATTCCTGACATTTAGATAGTCAGTCAGTCAGTCAGTCAGTCAGTCTCTCTCTCTCTCTCTCTCTCACACACACACACCCCCACCCACCCACCCACACACCCAGATACACCCCCCCCCACACACACACACACAGAGATACACCCTTTCCAAGTGTGCAGAGAATGAGCACATTACACTAGCTCTTGAAATAGCAGCTGGGAATGGGGAGCTGCACTCTGCTCTTCAAGCCAGTCCAAAAGGGAGGGGGGCAGAGCTTTGACTCCTTCCTGCCCCATTGATGTGATTTTTGTCCCCAGAGCTCATGAAAGGAGTAGTTGTTTAGATTTCCCCCAATCACAGTTCTTCTTTCGTCTGTGCAGAGGGGTCACCTCGGTTGTCTCCCTTCCCTCTGTTCACCTATTCCAGATCCACTACCCCTTTCCTCATGATTCTGATTCATAGGATCTTCGCTTCCAAGCTGAAGCCACCGGGTCAGACTCTTCTGTTGTGTACACTGGTGTAACCCTACTCAGGTCCGTGGCATTGTGCCAGTGCTGGAACACCTGATAGGAAGTACAAATGCTCAACAATTAATATGATGTTTGCTGTTTGCTGATCCTACCTACATATATGACAAAATCGATATTATTTAACTTTCAGTCGGTAATGGCATATATCTGTTTTTGAATGGTATGGGTTTTAATGGTTTTAGTTGCAGAAAGTAGATGCTAATTTTGCTGTCCATAATATGCATCCCTGTGGTAGGAAAACAGTTGCACACCAAACAGACTTTGTCTCCATTTTGAAGAACCCACTGGGTTAAATTCTGCCTTCTGTTAAACTTGTATTGTATGACCCACTGGATTCATGGGAGAGCTTGGCCACCACTGATCTGGATCTACAGAGGAACCCTTGTATTCCATGTGGAGACCAGTTGACTTTAGAGGGACTCTGTGCAGATCCAGTTGTGAGATCAGGGCTTAACCGAATAAGGTACCAATGAGAAAATTTGCATCATGGTACTTGTAAAATGAGAATTCCTGTTGTTTTTAATAAAACCTTTTGAAGACATTGGCTCAGATTCTGATCTCCATAAACCAGTGTAAATCTAAAGGGACTACAGTGGGTTTACACCAGTGTATATGAAATCAGAATCTGGTCCAACATTTAAAGAATGTTTTTTTAAATGTGTGTACAGCTCTGCAAAGGCTGTGTCGGGATAATAGTGAGTTCCAATCTGTGACTCATTACCAATTTCCATTGTTGTACAGAATGAAACTATCAAGCTGTTTGAATTAATTCTGTAGCGGTATTTTAAATTTTATGTGGAAGTACAAAACTCAGCATTTTTAAAAATGTTCTGAACACTGATCTTTTAAAATAGTTTGAAATAATACTGAAGGATCCAAAGAAGATGTACAATTTGTAATAAGTGTCTTTTTTTTTTTTAAAGAGATGGTCTCTGTGTCATTTTTAAATTAAACTAACATCAGGATATTAAATGTTGTGTAATTTCTCCCCCTCCTTTTCCTACCTTCCATGTATGGGTTTGCAAAAGTTTGAGAGAAGGAATAATTCAGAAGAGACATAGCAAACATTCCCTCACCACTCTACTGTATTACTCACTGTAGAAATCAAAGGATGTATTGGGATGCTGCAAATAGTGTGACAGTTCAGCTTGCCAAGTTGCATCTTCAGTGAATAGGAGAAAGAATTTGAATAACGGTTATTACACGATATTTGCTGACAACTCCAGGTCAACAAGGATTTTTTGGGACACTATGTAACAACTTCAGCACACAGAGACAGAATTCAATTTTCTCCTAGCACCACCTCCACCCCAACCAAGATGACAACATAGTATCAAAACAAGACAACACCACTAAGGTAAAGATACAGCACCACCTGTTGGTGGAGGTGCTGCCTGCACTGATCATTACACTGCCTTTGCATTCCAGTCTCAAACTGGACCTTGTATGAAAGGGAGTACCTGTAACATGGTGGCTTTTTTTTAAAAAAAAATATGGCCAAATGTTTACCAATTCCATCGCTGCTGAAGTTCTTATTTCAGAATCTGCTTGAATTAATCTTTCAGATAACTCCATTCCACTCCCATCTTTCTTGCTGACATCCCTGTCTGTCTAGTAGAAAGTCTGCTGGAGCTCTGAGAGGTGCACGGGTAGTGTCCACAAAACTACACTCCATTACTAGATGCAGCTCACTTTCTTACATGTGACTGGCTGGCTCTGTGGATGTTGGGTGAGCAAGGTAGAGCCCCAGCCCACCTTCCTCCTTGCTGACTTTGAGTGGGAGCAGGGAGGCAGCTCCCTGAACACAGACTGAAATTCTGTCTGGTATTTACAGGCCAAATAAATGGGGAAAGCTCCTTACACCTCCTTTTCCCCAGGTTTGAGCAGAACCACAGGCCAGGTCCTGGGGATTCCCATCCCATCCTCTGTGTTTCTTGTGGGGCAGCAGAACATTTACAGGTGACCAGACGCAATCTAGCCTCCTCATGCTATTTCAGAGCTTAATTCTGCCTCTGTTACTCATGTTTAGAGGTATGTCACTAAGCAAGCAGCCCCATTGAAGTCGGTGGGACTAGCTGTGTGCTAAAATACTCCTCCATGAATGAGGGAGACAGAATTAGACCCTTATTGTCATATATAACTATTTGAAACAGGGTGTGCTGTCCCTGTAAACTCAAGCCTGGAGCCAGCCCAGTATAGCAAGGGAATTCTGAGAGATGTGATTCCCAGCAAGGGAATTCTGAGAGATGTGGTTCTTATGGGAATTGTAGATGAAGAGCAAGGCCTGCTGGGAAAGGGAAAGCTGGATATAAGAAGTAAGGGGGAGAACACGATAGAGGCTAGATGTGTTGTGGGCCTTTAGAGAGAAAGGAACATCCTGACAGGAATAGGACCTGCCTTGGTTCTTGGGGAAAAGGCTGCTGGTGAATGTCTCCAGTGAGGTAGCAAGTGGGTTCTGGAGGGGATCGTCCTAATGCAGCCTGGGAGGGGACCATCTGGTAAGCAAAGTAGTACTGAGCATGACAGAGGCAAAATTAGGCCCTTCGTCTATGACAATCCATACAGTGCCCTTACTTCCTGCCAACTGACCTTCATCCCACAAAATCAATCATTTTGCCGCTGATTCAGTGAAAGCAGGAGCCAGCCCCATAAGGTCATCTCACCTGAGTGAAGGTTTGCAGAATCAGCTGCACTTGAATTTTGGAAATACAGACTTTGCGTGAATTAAACAAAGAGGTTGAGTAGCACAGTGTTAGGGCCCCTCACAATCATCTCCGGGTACCTACATTCAAATCTAGTATAAATTCCAAAAAGAAAAGGAGTACTTGTGGCACCTTAGAGACGAACAAATTTATTTGAGCATGAGCTTTCGTGAGCTACAGCTCACTTCGTCGGATGCATCCACTGTATGCACTCTAAGGTGCCACAAGTACTCCTTTTCTTTTTGCGAATACAGACTAACACGGCTGTTACTCTGAAACCTATAAATTCCAAGTGTCTTTTAAGTTGTGTATCAGTAAGAGCCAAATCTGTCTTACTAACAGCTTCTTTGCAGGATCCATAAACCTTCGTTGCTCAGCGATTACCGTCGTCTCAGTCAAAACCAGAATGTAAAACAACTCATCCCTTGGCGAAGCAAAAAGAGAGCTGTGTCAAAGGTAATAGCTATCTGAATCATCCAGTACTATGAAAGAGACTTCACAATCTTCAGGAGGAATCCCATTAAAGCTTCAGTGGAGATGGAAGCCAACCGGATTTTTCCACATGCTCCACCACTGTATCTCTGTCCAAGTAGAAGCCTGAGAGGGGCAGCCTAGTAATTAGATCTAAGCTGCTTTTATCTAGCCCACTTCTGAGTCTTTCTACTGAAAAGTGTCTCAGATACCAGCTCCTTTATTTCCTCTGCCTCTCCCTGAAGATGCAACTGTTCCATGGCCATAGCAGATATTACGCTTCATGGATTACTTGCAAATGAAAACTTTCCTAGTGAAACTCTTCCACTGCACTGGTCAGCACCTAAATGACACTTAGCTTCCATATTAGATGCTCCACCTATTATTACAGACTTTAATAAAGCAATGCTTGCACATGACAAGCACTTCAGCCAGCCAGCAAATAGTGTTCTTAGATACTATTATTTCTGTGGGCGCAAAATCCCCTGGAGAGCAGCTGGATGGGTATGCAATTGCATTATGTGAATTAGTCTCTACTAGCAATTTTGAGAGCCTATCTCTCTGTGGATTAAAAAAGTAGTTGAAATGACCTATAATTCTAAAACTAGAAAGAGCCTGCAACTGGAGAAAGATTAACCCTTCATAAAACTGGATTCGTTAAAAGAATTGACGCATCCATTAAAGTTGTGAGATTGCTATTCCCTGCACAAGCTAGTGCTGCCAATCCAGTGTTCATGCCAGTACATCGTAATAAGAGATCATCCCCATATTTAGTAAGTAAGGAAAAATACAAACTCTATTACAAAAAAAAATCTTGTTTTAGATGTCCGGAGTGTGGGGTGACTTTCCATTAGGATTTCGTACAAACCCCAGTTTTAGATGCATTGAATCCTTAAACTAAAGCAGTACTTACTACAGAGGTCAGTGAAGATGTAGTGAGTGCTACAGTTGCCTAGATAGCGTGGATAGAGTGGAAAAGAAACTACAGTTGCGTTTCCTTCATGAACCATAAGTGATTTAGAAAGAACTGGTATTGGGGGGAAAAAGGTAGCATTAGCATGCTACTGAGCAGAGTAACATTGAATTTCCTTACTGTGGACTATTAATTTTCAGGACCAATCACCACCCACTAATTACAATGTTCACTCTGAAAGTTCAGCAAGGAATTGTTCAGTGGGTAACGAAGTTAACTGATTTGAGTTTACAGACAGTGTGTGTGGATCTAAAAAAAACCTCACTGACCTTAGTGAAAATTGCAGCCTGTGAACTCAGTGAATTGCAGTCAATGAGGTGCCTGAACTTTCAGTATATAAACTATTATAATAATCCACTCTGAAAGCTTTTTCCATTCAGCTGAAAGCCATATTGGTTTGTTTCTGAGCAGTGGTTAGGACAGGACTTTTGATCACCAGCTGTGACGCAGCTATAGTCAGAGGACCTGTGTCAATTTACAGAGAATTTGATGTTTTTCACAGATCTGTGCATATAGAACGGCACCTAACACAGGAAGTGCTAGATGATGCCTTGGAATGTCATTAGATCTGTGCGATCACTGATCTTTTTAATTTCATCCACATGAAAGTGTGAAGCTCTTTTAAAATACCAAGGTAATGTTTCATGTTATATTAATGCTGCTGGTTTTAGGCTAACTATTACGTACTTGTATTCTCTGGCACTACATGGTTTCATTCTTCCAGAACTTGGAAACCTGATGCATTCATTCCCACTTGAAATCAGCAATGCGTGACCTCAGGTTTGAAGTCATGCCCTATGATTGATAAATGATATCCCAACACAGATATTTCACTGGCTTTGCCCTAAAAATGGGAGTATGTTTGTTTCAGATAACAAACAGTGATGATTTAAAGAGGCTTGTGATGCTGCTCACTGCAGAGAGACAGAGCAAGCTATTTGAGAAGCAAAAAAAGGGAAGCCCTACATGTTTAGACAGAGTTATCTGTAATATAAAGACAAACTCACTAGCCAGTAGGGGTCATTTCCCCTGCCATATGCCTTGGGCCTGATTCTCCCCTGCTCTGCATCTTGTAAAGTCATTTACACCTGTGTGAAGTGGGTGTAACACTATCATCTGCTTTGGAAACCTTTTCAGCCACTTTACACTGGTATGAGTGACGACACAAGGTGCAGACCAAAAGACTCAGGCCATTTATACCTGTGCAGAGGGTGTAAAATGCTAAAATTATTCTGATTTGGAGAGTCAGGCACAGTAAATCTTGATTTACTGTATCTTCACTGTATAGAAACCCACCTGTATGGAAATTAGTGATACAATTTTGTAACTGACCATCAAGCTCTACAGAAGTATTCATCATTTCTGCTGTTGTCTCTTTTCTTTGGGCCCCTTGTCACATTACACCGTACAGCACTGCTGACCAGCATTTGAAGCACTCCTGGTTGGATCTGTGTGTCATTTTAAGATGCCCTCCCAAGAGGCTTTTAGAACTCTAGGCCAGAACTTCACCAGGTATCAATCTGCATGTCTTCACTGAAGTGAATGTTTCAGTGGTGTGCTATGCTGCCATAGACCAGCTGAGGATCTGGTGCTCCACCCTGGCTACAGCACTCAACTTGAAAAAGGAAAAACTCAACATCTCAGAATTACTGTGCATTATACTGCAAGTAACTTGGTAGATGTTTAGTAGCTTCTAGCACAAGCCAAATTCTGTTCTTGGCTTATATTGCTTAAACAGTAGTAACATGCTACTACAAAAATATTAAGACAGACCTTGGCCCAGAAGGCTAGCGGTCTAAAAATCTGCACAGGGTTGAAAGTAAGAA